ATTGAGGAATCGAGGAACCTCTGGTGTCTTACCTAAAAAAATAGTTTGCGGTCACAGTTGAAAAAATAAATTTTCAAATGTGTCGTTTCGTTTTTGTTTTGGTTTTGGTTTTGTTTTTTAATATATAACATTACATGATTATATGTGCATTGTTTTAGTTTATTTATCTGAAACAAAGTTTATCAAAATTATACAGTTTTCCTCGGATAAATAACAGGAAATGCTTGATAATGATTGAGATATCCATGTTTGAAAATGTTAATCAATGACAATCACATATATATCTTTTAAAGCCTAACAATAGTTTCATATCCATACAAAATAAAATTATTTTCGTGTTTTAATTTACAAACACAATATTTGTGTCATTTACTCTAGAATTTATCTTGAAATGTGTTTACTTTTTAGTTGATTATAAGTGCTGCCGTCAATATTGATTGATTGTTAAATTAACCACAAACGCTTTGCGTTTAGTTACACTTTTAGCTTCGGTAAAAGATTGCTGCGTATTGTTTAAGTGTTATTGAAGTGTAGATACTAAAAATGCAGATACTTAACTACAGATATCTCGCAAAATACAATGAAACAGCAGTAACGTGTTTTGTAAGGAAAATAATAATAATGCTTCTTTGAAAAAAAATACTGTAATGCATTAAAAGAAGGTGTTCTGTACTTTTTTAAAGTGCGACAAAAATGGAAAACTAACATATTTGTATAGTTTTATCAGACAAAAGTAATTAAGGCAAACATACGAAAGACCGGTAGGGCCATTTCGACTTCATGAATTCCCGATTTCATCTTCATGAATTCACATATTTAACTCCGTGAATTCACATTTTCAACATACGGAATTCATGAATTCACGATTTCAGGTTCATGAATTCACGATTTCATCTTCACGAATTCACGATTTCAACTTCATGAATTCACGATTTCAACTTCACGAATTCACGATATTAACTTCATGAATTCACGATTTTAACTTCACGAATTCAACTTCGTGAATTCACGATTTCAACTTCATGAATTCACGATTTCAACTTCACGAATTCACGATTTTAACTTCACGAATTCATGATTTCAACTTCATGAATTCACGATTTCAACTTCACGAATTCAACTTCGTGAATTCACGATTTCAACTTCATGAATTCACGATTTTAACTTCATGAATTCACGATTTCAACTTCACGAATTCAAGATTTCAGCTTCCAGACTTCAACTTCAAGGTATATGCCACGTGATCGTGACGTCATTTTTCGCCAAATTGGATAGCTTAGAATTTGCGTGAAAAAAATGGTTAGTGATTTTTTACTTATATAAGTTTTAAATATATCATTATTTTCATTATACAAAGGTTAAAAGTATTAGTAGGAAAATTATTCATATTAGTTGGTTTAAAAAGAAAATATTTTGGGATCTAGAACACATAAATCTGCCTATATTCTGAAATGGACACCGTGATCTAAACCAAAAGTTGTTTTTTTAGATACTCTTTAAAACATTCATCAGGGTTCAATCTGCGCATCTGTTTGTCAGAATTGCATTTGCGTGTACAAAATATAATATAGTAGGTAATTGTATTGTTATCTGATTGCAGATGCTAGTGTTATTTCTATGGCGTTGACTGCATTGGCAATAGGAGAACGTATTGTAAATAAAGAAACGATGATGAAATTGATAGTTCATTATTTCTCGGTGGGAGATATTAGCTAGTCTTCTGTTGATTGATGGAATAAAAGTTAGTTATCGTCACTTAAAAGTAATCGTAAAGAAACTAGTGTCTCATAGTCGAACAGTAGAATCGAATAATGATAATGAAGATATTTCTTCGTGCAATTCTTGCAGAATTATCTGGGAGTGGTAAATGTATATGGTTCAACGGTTGTAAGATTCATGCGGATAGCACATCAAGATGACATGGAAAGAAGAAAACGTAAGCGACGTCTGCAGAGGAAGTATTCGTGTCCGGGTCCAAGCCGCGTATGGCACATCGATGGATACGATAAAAACCTTTTGGGTTTGCAATTCATGGGGCCGTAGAAAGATACAGCCGTAAAACTCTATGTCTTGAAGTTGCAACCAGTAATGATGATCCACAGATTATTGCAAAATGCATGCTTTTTTGACACCATAACCAGCTTAGGCGTTCCTACAATAATGAGTGATCGAGGAACTGAAAATGTCACTGTACGCAAACTACAAATATTTTTCAGATAAGGACATGTCGACGGCCATGCAGCGGAGAGAACTCATGTCACCACTCTGCTGGTTCAAAGTTAACTTAACAATTTGAGATCAAACAAGTTTAATGCTCTTCAGTACTTTTTTTACAATTCGAAAATTTTCTTCAACCTTGACAAATTAATAAGGTGTTATATAAAACTCATACCACTTTATGGGTCAAGGTCACACTTAAAGGTCAAAGGTCAAATGTCATCCGATTTTGTGTTTGCCCTGAAAGTTTTTCACCCCTTCATAGGTTTCCATAAAATTTGGATCATACCTATGCATTGCAGTGGGTAGAACCTATGTCACGACCTTGCAGGCTCAATGTAAAGGCAAAGTTCAATTATCAGACAATTTATGTAGAAATACTTTCATTCTGAAGATTTTTTTAACTTGATTTTAATGTTTGCATTGATAAGGTAATGTGCAGAACCCATTCCATTTCTGTCACATTAATTAAGTTCACATTTGAAGAAAATGTTTTCATTTAAAAATATTTATAAATTATACTACCAAATAGGCTGTATCAAAGAGATTATGTGGGGTATTCGTCACACCTGTGGCAGCTCTAGTTTATAAATGGACTGTCTTCATATTTAGACTCAACATCTTTTAGGGCAAAACATTTATGAAGATCAAACTTAACTTTGACTTGACATTCTCACTTTTTTGCTGTGAATATACTTTGCAATTAGTATATGGAAATTATAAAACCTGGACAAAAATGGCATTTCAATATAAAATTACAATGCATGTGTGTGTGTGCGCGTGTGCATGCGTGTGTGCGTATGCGTGTAAAGTTTCATAACTCTGAAATCTATATATTTATCTATATACATGGACACAACATTCTTTGAGGATATACTTTTATGTTGACATACAATGACCCTGCTTCATAAATGACTTTTTTTCAGGTTCAGTCATCTTTGTTCTCAAAAAATTGGTATGACTTGCTACAAGTTTATTAGTATATGTCTTATCCAATATCATTCCGTCTCAGGAACCGGTAGATAAATAAACATGAACTTGAAATATCAATGCGATGTAACAATGCACTGTGTTTTATAACTCTCATAGGAAGTTTAAATCTATTTGGTCTTTTCATTCAATTTGGCGTGAGAAGATTATTATTTTCTTAGTTATATGCCCTTTTGTTTTTACCAAAATCATGTTTGGCATATTATTATACTCTTCTTTTATCAAGGCATTATTGGTTCACTGATGAAACAAAATAAAATATAGGTTAAGATCAATTTTCACATCAGAAAACTCCATTTTCAAATATTTGAAAGTAGAGTGATAAAGATTGAATCACCTTCAGTGGAACTTTTGAATATGATTTATATTTAATTATGTCACATGAATGATTTAATACGAAAGAAATTAAACTTTTTTATAGACACGTGTACAAAAGTGCATTCTGTGGTACAAGATACTTATCTTATCATAACTTTGTTTAATTTTTTAAATTGTTTCTCTCCCCCCCCCCAGTTATAAATGTTTTTTTCAAAGATTTTATTTAATGTTGATGTAAACCAAACATTGTACATATACCTTGTTGATCGTATAATTATGCCTCTCAGAGTTGGGCATTTATATTTGCACTTGTTCGTCCAGCTGTCTACCCGTCCGTCCAAAAATGTTGTGTCGCCTGTATCTGAAGAACTGAAGATAGAGTCAAGAAACTTTACAGGAATGTTGAAGCACCCGGGGTTTCAAATGTGGATTAATTTGGAATTGTTAGAGTAATGGCCCCTCACTTAGTCAAAATTTGCAATTTTCAACTCTTGTCGCCTTTAACTTTAAAACTGCTGGAGCTAGAGTACAAAAAACATCGCATGTATGTTGATCAGCATGTTAAGCTAAGCACCTGAGCTTTCACGTGTAGATTTATATTAAATTGTTAGAGTTATAGTCCTTGAATTATATCATTTTTTTTCAATTTTATAATTGTGCCGCATGTAACTCAAAAAGCCTTAGAGATAGTCAATAAACGTTACAGGAATGTTGATGAGCATGTGCGCCTTGGTTATACATAAGATTTTTATCAACCATTCTGTATTTGTACTTTTACCTTCACTCTGTTATTAGAAGTTATATTAACTCAAAGAGCCCTGAAGCTAGTCAAAAAATTTACAGGAATGTTGATGAGCATGTGCGCCTAGGTAATACATCAGATTTTTATCAATCATTTTGTATTTCTATTTTTACCTTCACTCTGTTATTACAAGTTATATTTCCTGAAATCATTATTTTATCTAATAATTCCTTTTTACACACTTGCGTCTTTGATTAACTTTTACCTTTCTCTATTGGTTCATTTTGTTTCTATCCTCCCTTTTAGCTTATGCCTGTACTATTGAAGTGTTCATTTATCATTGGGTTTGTCATTTTTATAACAAAATAAAAAAGAGATATATGGAAACAAATTCAGCACTTGAGAAATGTAATGTCTAGGCATATAATTGCATCTAGAAGCATTGGATGAAGGGAGGCATCTGTGTCCTACAGTCTACAAAAATTGTTTTGCGCATGCCCCGTTTCAAAATACGAATTAACTTAAACGGAAAATTAACATCGAAGTGAACAAATCGGTACATAGAAAAATCGGGAAATATCATTTACGATACTTAGCGCTACGTGGATGTTTCATTCTGTTTTAATCTTTTAAATTGTATAAATCGATTACCGTATTGTATTCTGAATAGCGTTTTACTATTTCATGTTCCGATAAATAGTAACTGTGAACATGACAGGTACTATATCACCATAGACCCTTCTCAAATTATATGCATACCTGGAATTCCAGAATCAGAACGAGGTTTAAATGGCACGAATGTAAACACACTGACCACTCTTATCTCACTATATAGCCACGATGTTGGGTGTTAATAAAGAAAAGTTCTTATTATCATTTTTGTGTCCCAATGTGCTATTCTGATGATAAATATAATTTACCATATTCCAAAGGATAAAGATTAAAAAAAAAACACACAACAAATTATGGATGACTAACTTTCTAAGATAAGAAGGGATAAAGGGTCATTGTAAAAGGTAAGCACCTAAAAATAATATTTTGTAAACTTTGACCACTATATGAACAGAATAATATTTTTGTAAAAATACAGATTTTGTAAATTTAGAATAAAATAATGGGAGAACTGCTTGCTTTTAATCTAACAGTTGTAACAATTGAAACTTGCAAATTGTAAATTATTATCAGTTCAAATATATGACACAAATAGAGGATTGAAGCTGACTATAATAGTTACCATATCATACCTTATTATAAATATATATTGTATATTTTAGGGTCACTGCATCTACTGTGGTGTGTTCCAAACATTTTACACTGAAGATTACAACTGGACTCCACTTAAAACTGGTTCTATTCCACCAGTGATTAATTGGGTTGAACAAACAACTCCAATTAAGAAGGCCACTTAAAAGAAAAATTCTTTCACCAAAGAAAATGCTCATTGATAGGTAATCTGAATGATAAAGTCACTGATTTAACACACATATTCATCATTTCATTTAAATACATATAATAATGCTTATTTATGTTTAATAAATGTATTTGCTTTAAATATAGAAAAAAATCATTTAAATTCTCACTGATATTGAATAAATAATATGTTTTGGTAAAATATATATCTTTCAGCATTGTCTATAATGAAGATGAAGAAGATAATGCAACAAGTACCACTGGCCAACCATCTACATCTTATGGGTCTACAGAAACACAGGAAGAAAATGATAATTAAATGCTTCATTAGGCTTGAACTGGAGGAGACCAAAAAGATGTAAAGACCCTGCAACTTAGCTGAGTTTGTATTGAAATTACAAAGGAACATGCACACGTTTGCTTTTGTGTCATTGTTACATGGATGCATGTAGGATGTTGAGATCTAATGGAACTTTTTGAAACTGGTGATGATGTGATGGTTTTTATATGTATATTTAAATTGGTTTCAATAAAAAAAGGATAATAAAAACAATATAATATTTATTAGGAAGTATTAAAGTTTAGTCTTAATTAAAATTTTGAAATAAATAAGAAAATTCATTCTTTCTCTGTAATCTATGGCATTTCCCTTAATTATATTGCGCTGGTAGTAATGGAAGTACAAATTAAAATTCATAAAGTACATGTATACATAGAATTTGGCTAGGCAGAAACTATAGTAAACGGTCTTTATAACTGAGTCAATAAATGTTTGATATAATCCACCCAATACACATCTGATAAAGATTTACCACAGGTCATTAGGGGCTTATCTGTAAGATTCAATTTGCAATTACCTTTATGCTGGCATCAAGAATCCATAAATAACAGAACAACAAAGATTATATAATACTAGACACCACAGATTTATATCTATAAACCTTATATTATGTTAGGACAGCAAAATTGAAACCGAAAGTAAAAAAAATCTCTTCTCTTACTCACTTCTTAAACCATAAATGGATACCTCATAAATATAATTGAATTTTTTATAGAGGGATTAACTTTGTCTTGATTAATATATAACTCTACAAATGAGAAATTAATGTTAGGAACCAAAGATAAGTCGATTTCATTGTTTACACAGCTGCTTATACTGGCTTATCAGCTTGCCAGTTACGCCTCGTTCTGGTTCATGTTCTAAAAATAGCTGTATAATATTAAGAATGGTCTATGCACTATTATATGACCGAGTGAACCGTGTACCGAAATTTTGCTGCTCCGGTATGACTAAATAACGCAACGGAGATATTTTGGCGCAAATGGCACAAATTTTACTCAAATATTGTGGTTGGAGGCATACAGCTTTATATACTATTTATTCCAATCAAATGATTTAAACATTTTTTATATAAATCTGGGACTTAAAATTCTTTCATTAACAAACTTCATGCCCGTTTTGGAAAATGTAGAGGAAATGTTTCTATAAACTTACCAAAACATTAACCGAAAATGTGCTTATTGAATTTAATTACTAATAGACACTTTTATTTTGATACTACTTTTAATATATATATATAATTATGTGTGTAGATATAACACATGTGTATATCATTTATTTTAAATTTAGTTTATGACATAAGATAAATCGTTCCCTTTTAGAAAAAGTATCCATTTCTACGGCATATTATCATTTAAAACTGAAGTGTAAAACAAACTTTCATTATGATACTATATTCAATATAACAAAATATACCGTTATCCTTAAACTGATAAATATTTTGAAAGTAAAATCTTGCCAAGAGTTTCAAGTTTATTTGAGGTGGAAATAATGTTTATAAACTAAGATTAGAGGCATGTTTTGTGTGTGTTTTTGTGTGGATAGATTCTAGAAAGACAAACATTATAATGATAAAATTGTTACTTTCGTAAGCTTATCTGCCACTTAAATGTATCTCAGTATATGTTGCTGATGGCACAATATTTATCACTGACATATAATTTATCAGAATATTAGGCACTGCAAATTGATAGGATGTACACTTCAATATTTGAGTACATGATATGTATCCATAATACAGTGAAAGTTAATTTTTCATTAATACACACTATTTGTGGTCATTAACATGCCATTAACTACCACACCTGTGTCTGAATTGAATTTCAAATTAAATAGATGAAAATACAAAAAAACATGTTAAGTATTAACAATTAATAAACCAAACCGTGCCTTGTAATCATGTATTGTTAATATTTATGTTTTGATTGCAAGATATACTTGTAAATGCATAACATTTTAATTGATGAAATGCATAACATTTTAATTGATGTAAAACGAAACTCAATTTCATATTGTAATATCTTAAAAATTACTTTTCATTTATCGATTTCCATAAAATAAATTAAGATGAACAAACATCTTGGCAATGTTATAAATATTTTACTTTTGTTGACGAGTTTTCTAGGAAGTGCAACTAATAGTACATAAATATATACAATTGATACAGTAAAGTAGTGCAATTAAAATTTAAAATTATATATAAGCTCACAAATGATTATTACATCATCCTTAGTTAACATTATATGGCGGCATGGCCGAGTGGTTAACGCGTCGGACTAGTAATGTAATGATCGCTAGCCGTATGGGTTCAAACCCCGTCAGGGGCAAGTCGTTGTTTCCTTGAGCAAGAAACTTTACACTCATTGCTCAGTACTGGTTGGTTCCAGGATCGGATTCGAAAGTGTGTCTATAAGCTTATAGCTTATAGCTTCCTACACAATCGAACTAAAATAAATTCTGTATATAAACCAACATTATATGGCCCAATTGATAATTGAACTTCACTGCAGTTGAAAGTTACAGCTTGCATTCTTGTAATTCTCTCTTTATATATCATTATAGGATTTCCTCAATGTTAATTTTCATATCTATTTGAACATATTATATGCTTGATGATTTTCATTTCAAATTTAATAGAGTTTCACATATTAGTTTATCAAAATACACATAAGACCTCACCTTCAGATTTGTTATTCAAATTATGTTGTATATGTGAGTGTTTATTTTAAGTTGCAGGTAAACGACCACCATTAAAAAGCAAGTCTGTAACTCCATGTTTAATTCGTCAAACAAATACTTCCTCTCTTAAACAATTAACCATTTCTGAAACAAAATAAAACATCGTTATCATGTAGTGACTGTGATTTCGAAAGCTACAATAAAACACAAAATAATCTACAAAACAAGATAACACGCTGTTGCCAGCTAGAATTATCTGATACATTCTCCATTTTTTTTATGTCACTGATAAGCACTCTGTTTTTATCTTTCATGGGCTTTCCCTGCAATGTTTAAACATGAATAACACATTTTACGATATAATAACAGGTTATTGAAAATGTGTAAAAACGTTTGGAAATGAGAGATCTCTGAATGGGATAGCAACCGAAATGATCACACTAGTCGGAAAAAAAACCAGACTCGATTTTACCTGTTAATGATCGAAGAACAGAATATACAAACCAGAACATCGTTTCATGTAATTTTCAAACCTCAACATAGTAATCATTGATATCAATCATTTTCGAGAATGACTGAAAAACAACAGCTTTTACATATCAGTGACTACATGCTGGTGAGAGTATAAACTTCGTGAAAATGAAGACTCTAGTGAGCAATAAGAAAAATATCATACAGTAGTAACCTCCTACACACTTTTTGAGTCTGCTAATGAAAGAAAATGGAATTTGCAACATCTCTATCCCACTCCAAGTATCGGCGGAAGCGATTTTTTAAACCCTCAGCACTGTTAAATCTTATGTATTGATGTTTGAAAATCCATTGGGTCTGCATTGCCTTGTTTCGGACGACATTTTATATTGCTTCAATACCAACTTTCATACCGTTGTGATTCAAATTTGACTGACACTCCCAATATTCTAGAAAAATTTAAATATTGCGACTTACCTTTAATATAGCTTTTCGTATATTCCTTCCTTTCTTTTATTTCTTAAAGCAATTTTTAAAAAAAAGTTGTTTCGTTTTATCTGTCGCAGTTATGACAATATACGTGTAAATGATTTTCACGTAACTTGTGATAAACCTATGATTAAGATATTGAGATTTTTAGACAAATATCATAACTTTTATGAATCTGGAAACAACGTGATCCATCAGAAGCATTAATTACAACAAAATTACATGAAAATTGCAGACTGGGTTTAATTGAGTCTGTACATGAGGAATAATGAATTAGTGCAACATCCCTTATGCCCCCTTTCACCAGCTAGAGAGGAACTCAATATTCTCAACACTTAATAGTGCTAGCATAAAGGATATAACCATTTGATAATATCAAACGAAGACAAATCAAACACGTTGTTTCTACGCACCTTTTATACAGCGTTCCTTTCATGACGGTTTTTATTACTGACAACAGATATTTCACTCCTTTGATGCGTCTGTCTGAACAGCTATTCAATTTATCTTAAGTGCCACAATAAAGGTACTTGTTTATACATAAAGATACGTTAATATTTTTCAAGTGCTTGCATATCTCGTTCAAACACCCGGCAATTGTTGTAAATTAATTATCTATGAAGAAGCAACTTTCATATGGCCTAATATGATTGTTTAATCTATCTTAAGTAGATTAAGTAAATGATGCATTTTTGTAGAGATTAACCAATTCAAAACTTTCAAGAAAATGTTTAACCCATCAGAAACATGTTTCTGTTCCCAAGTTTTGTTTAGAATAATACAACACTTTGTTTTGTTCCGCATTTTATTTCTATACTGTCATAAATGTAAATGTTATATCGCTTGTTTACTTGGGTTTTAGTCAATCCAGACTTGCCATGGTCTAATTGCGACATTTAAGCTTTGACTGGTAGAGGTGGATCTGAGGTAATAGCATTCGTACATTCTTTTACGAATGCTACGATTTCTGCTAGGTTATGAAATACCGATTGATTAAATTAAAGTGAAATTCTAACAGAAAATATCGTTGTCACATAAACCTCGACGCTGGAGTTATATTAAACCGATAAATATAGGTGATTATACACAAGTGTAATAGCTATAGAAATTAGGCGAAAAATCACTTCATTTAAGTGTTCATCATACGCAACGTGAACAAAATTAACAGACGTAGTGCACCATGACGTTTTTGTTGGAGAAACTGTTTAAATATAAACCAAGCTGATTGTCTGTGAATGATTCGACACAAAATCAAAGTATGATTTTCGTCACCAATACTTGTAATGGATTTCGTTTTATAGATTTTGACAGACAAATTCACATGAATCGCGTCCTTCGCATACTTGCTACAGTTACTGTGGGCACTATTATTATGACAATATGGGGGCCGATATTATTGTAATATAAGGGTCAATATAATACTGACAAAATTGAGGGAGGTCTAATTAACCTGTCAAACGTTGCCCCTATATTAAGCAAAATGTTAATATATGTTTTTGGCTTTTATCCTAA